AACACCCACAGGCTTTAAATGAAGCATTACTTTCTCATTAGGCTTTCTGAGGAGTTCAGTCTGAGCGTATTATTCTTTGGTTTGTTTCACAGGACGCATTACTGCAAATGTGCTGATGTTTACCACTCAGAGTGAAGATTGGTGTTTGGATATGCCTGAGAGAGTACATAAACCTGCTGAAGGAAAAAAACTTCACGGACTGTTTTACCCACCGGTGTTCTGCTGCTCGGCTGACCCGGGATCAGTTGAGTCATTTGTGAAACGTTCACAGGAGTCACTGTAATGGATACACTGCTGAAGGGCTGCTACAATCTGAAACGAATAAAAGATTAAAACAAAGCGTCTTATTGTAGTTGCTGCAAACACCTGATTAAATAAATAATTCCCGCTGGGATTATTAAAGTATTTCTGATTCTGATTGGTTGAATTAAATAATAACGACTAATCTCCTAATGAAAAGTTTGGGTGCTGCTATAAACAGGCCTAAAATAACTATAATGACTTACTGAAGAATTTATTCAGACTGCCAAAAATCCCCCAACATTACAAAACCTATTATTCACTTGGTGGCCTTCAGATTACAAAGTACAGAAAGAGAACAAAAATAAGAGCTGAGAGCAAACACAACATCCCACATGACTTACATTAAGGCGTTCTCGTACATAGTCTTTCTAAAGACCCCCACTATTAATAAAAGTGAGGAAGCTACCCTAGTCTTTCAGTTTGGCGAGCATTAACTCATGAGGCTTTAACAGTCACAAGTTCAGCGCAGCCTCCTCTTATCGAACCTCTCAATCGAGACTTTTAAGACCAGAACCGTTCGTTTTAATCTAAATCCGAGCCCTTTAGGGAATTTCAGTGCACCGCAATGTAAGAGTAGTTTGGGCTTACACTGTTTTAGGAAAGTTATTGACGTTTACTTTAGAGAAAGTTTGAGCGGTGATTCCACAGTAATCCTCTGTAAAGTCGGGTTAAGAGTTGAGAGCGAGGTTGAGGATTTAACAATCAATTCTTAAATGTCAAAGTGGCTCTCGACTCCGGTGCCCCTTTGTCTCAAAGACTCCCGCATTGACCTGCACTGTTTGGCTGTGTGAACTGCACATAGTCCACAAATACACGGGCATTAATACGAATCTCACTGAAGGCTAGATGCAGGCAATCTTTTTGGAGAATCCTTATCTTCTGAATAAAATAATCTTGGTACAGTAAAGGCAGAAAGTAGAACAGCAAATTCAGCTTCTCTCTGAGGCTCCAGGATGAAACCAGAATCACCACCTTACTCAAAGAGTCACTGAACTACAGGCCTAACACAGTTCGTTCCAGATTCCTCCCTTTCCCCAGTTCACACAGAGTTGTGTCTTTCTTGAATGCACTCAACAGTGCAATGGTTTCTGGTGCCTACTGAGATTCTTGGTTTCTTTATGGTGCCAGACTTCTCAGAAGTACAAAAGGAGCTAGCGAGAGATATTGATTGCTGAGTGAACCACTCACCAGAGACTTGTATTTTCTCTCCAGGAGTCTGAGAACTACAGTCCTGCTGTAGTATCCGTGCTGAGAGAGGGAGAGGCAGACATATCAGAACAGAGAAAAGACAGAATGAGTCGGAAAGTATAGAACCGTTCATTTGCAGTACACACCATCCACTTTTTAAACCAGGTAGCTTTAATATCCAATAAGGCCAGCAGGTGAATGGGTTCCAGTGCTTTCTCTGTCCCTGCTGAGGCTGAGCCATGTTCATGAGGGAAGGTCAGCAAGGAGAAGGTGCTCTCTATCACTTCCTCCATGTATCTAAAGCAGGGCAGAAAGACGACAAAAACAAATGTACTGAACTCAACCATCATCCTGGGTATAATAAAGAAACGTAGAGCACATTTGGACTGGGATATTCATGTGTAAACCCGATAGATATGTGCATCAAATGACATGTTTCTCTAAACTGCAGTGTAGGAAATCTTTTCAATCAACCTGCTGAACCTGGCAACAAACTCACTTCTCAGGATGGCGGATCCAAAAGGTCGTCACCTCCTTTTGAAAATCGTTCATCAATCGAATCTGAGGCGAGAACAGACAGAGAGAGAGAGAGAGAGAGAGAGAGAGCTATAATGTGTTTGCACGGTGATACACTTTAAACACTGTAAGATAAAAGATGGTGCACCTGTTTGAGAAGACGACTGATCTCAGGTCTGTTGATGTCGACGACAGCTGAGCCGGTTGGAAAGCTTAGTTTGTGAGACAGAAAGCTGGACTCCACGGTTTTAGCTGCACACCAAAAGACAAAAAAAAGATAATATTAGTGATCACATACATAATTCAGGATATACACAGAGCATATATTCTTAGTTTAACAATTCAAAGACATTGTAAAAGAATCCCAATGAAAACTGTCCACATGGAGGCCTGTGAATTATTCATTCAGTATAAATTAATATATAATATCAGTGCGGTCTGAGGATTCACCTCCATTGTATCGGGGTCTTATACATCATCTTGTACCTAAAACCAAACTTACAGTGTCTGCATGACTAGATAATACTAGCAGAACTGCACATGCACTCAGATGTCGTCCGTTCAGAACTGGCCTACCCAAGCTGGTGTAGATCTCTCGTGTCACATTCAGCGGAGAGGAGGAGAAGCTTTTGGCAAAGAACTGCAGAACATGATCCTGATGGAGAAACATAATGAGAAGAAATGAAAGATAATCACATAAAAGGTTTGCAACCTCTGCTGAGAGCTCTAAATTATTAGGGACTTCATAATAATTAAGTGTTGTCTTGTTTTCTCCTCAATAAAGCAGGTGTGGCAGATTGCTTGACAAGTGTTTTGTGTTTGTTGTCACTAATTATAAAAGCCTGAAATTGTTCATAAGGATTACATGATTATTATTGATTCGTTAGTAAATGAATTAAAGGTGAATGTGAGTGGGACACTGATGCTGCAGTACTGAGTGCATGAGCTCAGGACTCACGCTGAGGTCGGGGTCGCTCAGCGCCGCACAGAGGTTCCTGCGCAGGCTGCTCCAGCTCTCGCAGCTCAGCACGTCGGACGGAGGGGCACAGCAGAGCGCCTGAAGAGCCTCCCAACGCACCTACACACAGGTACATCACCTTTAAGCAAAGCAGTGTTTAAACTTCCTCTTCAGTTGAATCTGTCTGCTCGTACACCGTACAATGTCTACTTGTAGGTGAGCCTCTCTACCTCTTTGGGTTTGCTGGAGTCCAGTTTTTCAGCCAAAGCTTGCAGCTGCTCTTGTCTGATGAATGCATAACTCTGCAAAAGAAATTGGACACGAATCAAAGAACGTTACGATCCACCATAAACCAAACTTTAAAAGAGCTTCCACTGTCCGATGGCACCGCACCAGATGTTTCAGGGGTCACTGGGTGGATCTACATTTATTCTACCGTGGAAAAGGAACAGCAGACACAATCTTGGAACTTCACAAAGGCAATAAATTCATAAAATGGAACAATGTATTGCCTTCAGAGTGAATCGACTGTATCTCTGACCTGGTTGAAGGAGGAGTCGCTGTCGGAGCAGTTGTCAGCGTACTGGTTGTTGGACTGACTGTGCTGCTTCTGCATCTCCTCCTTCCTCATCTGGTCCTCCTCAAACTTGTTGATTAAAGACTCCACCACCACGATCATGGTGTTTTTCAAGGTGTGCGTCATCTGCTGGTACCTGAGCACAGAAAGAAAGTGCATTAGTGTATTATTAACGCCACCTGTCCATAACAGCTGATTTGTTTGCTCTGTTTTAATCTGTTCTGTGACGGGTTCAGGTGTATGATTCAGCAGAAACACCACTTTTTGTATAGTTTACGTTTATTTCATTGCGTTCTACAATAATAAAAAGATAAAACTCCACATTAGCTGTGTGTAATCTCAACTGTATGGCAGTTTTCCAATTTTAAAAAACACTAGAAAGAAACAGAACAAATACCTACATAACAAACAACTGCCACCCAGCTACAGCTAAAGTCATCGGATGCTTCTCATCACAGAATACTAAACAACACTGTGTGAAACTGTCTGCTGCTTTACTTGGAATTTTAGACTTAAACTTCCCGATAAGAAAGTCGGATTCTCCACCGCGCTCAGAGGTTTGTTTGAGCCGAACTCACTCGGCTGAGTCTCTGGTCCTCCGGGTGACGGCGTGGATCAAAGTGTCGTGACCTGAGCCGACTGCATGTTGTCCATCTCCTCTGGTCAAGCTCTTGGTCTCGTCCTCCACCACGGTGCCCAGAGAGCTCTCCACGTACTGCCGGAGGTACTTCACAAACTCATAACTGGAGAGCGTCGAGATGTATGTGAATAAACCAACAGAGACATACAACAGCGGGGGTTTATTTAACTCTCACACACTCACTTGTGGAAGTTCTTGTCAGTCTCCTCCAGGTGAAGGAGGATCTCTTCGGCACATTCGGTGGACGGAGCGCCAGAGATCCTGTCGTTGATGCTGTTCAGAAGCTGCCTGAGCAGCGACTGCAACTCCGCCTCGTCATCCGCCGACAACTGAGACATGTCCACAGCCGCTCCTTCAGACGGGACAGAAACAGAGTTTACTGAGTGTAAATGTGTAGATGTGTGATGGAGAGGAGCCAGAACCATATATAGTGCCACCGAGGGTTTAAAAGACTACTTTTAGTTAAAAAAAGGGGACGTGTATTAGAGTTTGTTGTCTTTACAGCTATAAATTAACTTGTTTATTATATGCAGCAACTTTGGGCTTTGATAGTTTGTTTCTCCTCATAATATAATAGGTTTATTTGAACTTATAGATTATTATACAAAGGAAATCATCATAAATGGAGGATAGTTTACTAGAAGGTACTTTCTTCATGTCGACGTGTACAGGACAGCAAAACTCATCCTCAGGTTCACCTAAACAACAAAAAGCCTATTAAATCTGTATGATTATCGAAAATAAGTGACAAAATAAACATAATAAAGACAGAAAATTGTATAAAAAGTTCCCTAAGTTTCCCTAAGGAAATAATCTTCATCCTGTAACATGAAATATCCATTAAATATTATTCAGGGGTCGTGAGTTCACTAAAAGGATCCCCTTAAGGTAAAATGTTGGGAACCAGTGATTTATGAGACAATAAGTTTATAATTTAGGTTTATATGACACACAAACAGATTATTTTACTCCAGAATATCACAAAGTAATCTATTAATAATCAGCTTCAACCACAGGGAGTAAACGCACAGACGTGTTCCCTTTCTCAGTAAGTGTGATAAGATAAACCCTCAGGTAAAAACAGGTGTTTAACTATAATGAAAATAAGGTAATATTAATTATTTAACGAGGAACAACCTAATATTACACAGTTAACAGCTAAAAGGGCAAAAAACAGCCGCATTTTAAACTGAACCCGCGGCTGAGTGAAACCAATAAAACCTCCCGGCTGCACTAAAGCATATAAATATAAATATATATCTCGTATTCGGCACATTTTAAAGGAAATCACCTGTTTTTTTTGGACGTATTTAGCTTTTCATCCAGGTAGCATTGAGCTAACGACCGCTGCGTCTCTATGGAAACGGCCACTTCTGCGGTGCATTGTGGGTGGTTTGGTGAAACGGAACGCCGCCTTCAAACGCGTCGGAAATATGAGTTTCACACGTAAGATACACACGACGGGAGTAACTAAAAAGGTTAAATGTGACACGAAAAAGTCGAGGTGTAACCAATCGTACAGTCACTATAACAGCATTCAACTATCACGCATGTTAATACCGCTAATAAAAGCTTTACTGTTAAGCCAGAGGTTATTTGTGCGGATTTTTTCTCAGTGCTCTCGAAGGCAGCAGCGCAGATCACGTGACTCAATGTTTTGCTCCGTCTACCAGGTGTCGACTTCTTCCACCTGCTGTCCGTCAAACCCGAGTACTTTCATCACATATGGGCTATGTAGAGGCAGCGAGGTGTTTTTAATCACACACCGGACTCACTAGTGAACGTTACGTTATTAAAACACAACGTTAAACTGACTGAATTAACCTCAGTTTAGCCAGAAAGCATCAATAGCGGCGACTATGGCGGCGGTCGACAGCTTTCAGTTGTTGTACAGAGAAATTTCTCGGTCGTGCAGTTTTTATTTGGAAACCCTGGCCCTGGTCGGGGCTCTGTACACGGCCAGCAGGGCGGTAATCCTGCTCAGAGACTGCTGCACGCTGGTGAGGGTGCACTTTCTGCCGAGGATGATCCCCAGTAAGAGGCTGAGCCAAAGGTTTGGTGACTGGGCTGTCATCTATGGTGAGGATAAAACCATCAGGAGTCAGTGTGTGTGTGAGAGAGTTGTGTGTGTGTGGTGTGTGTGTGTGGTGGTGTGTGTGTGTGTGCGCGGGTGTGTGTGTGTTGGTGTGTGTGGCTTGTTGTGTGTGTGTGTTCGTGAAGGTTGTGTGTGTGTGTGAAGAGAGATCGAGAGAGTGAGTGTGTGGCCTCTTTTTGGTGTGTGTGTGTTGAGAAGAGAAAGAGGAGAGTGGATGTGAGTGTGTTGTAGTGGTGTGTGAGTGTGTGTGGTAGTGTGATGACGAGAAGGAGAGAGATGCGATGGGGTGGAGTCAGTGTGTGTGTTGAGTGTGGTGCTCCGCTCGGCGCTCGTGAGGATGAGAGAAGATGAGAGTGAGATGAGAGAAGTTGAGTGTGTTTGTGTGTGAGTGTGTTGGAAGAGAGAGATGAGAGAGGCATGTGTGTGTGTGTGTGTGTGTGTTAGAAGAGATGAGAGGAAAGAGAGTGAGTTGAGTGGTGTGTGTGT